CAGAAGAAGACAAAGTTGGCATTTTTAGAGGCCCAGTAGCGGTAGGCTAGGTCTAGGCCGGTACCAGTCCATCCAGTCTGAGTCTAGAGCCTGTATGGGCAATATCAGAGTCTGCAATGATGTTTCCCTCCGAAAGGGAGGAGGTACCGGTTGCTTGGGAGACCGATTGGCCTGGAAGTCAATGCCCAGGAGGCAAGTAAGCCGCTATATCAAGAGGCCGAGGGAAGAGCCTGGCCTCATTCGTCAGTGTGCAAGTTTGGCGACACGCTGCTGGAGCGCTGGCTGGAGTAGCGCTGGCCACTACAGCGCTGCTGGGAGGAACAAGCCGGGAGCTTCCACCTTGGCTATGGTGGAGCTCTACCGGTAGGAGAAGGAGGGAGAAGGGGACCTACCTGGCTATGGTGGACACCATCTTCATCACCTTGTTAGGCACTGCATCCAGAAGGCCCAAGTTGGGGTAGTGGCGCACCAAGGAAGTTCGGACAGGCATAACGGCCTAGTGAGTAGCGGCATAGCTGCTTTGCGTTGTCCTTTGCACAGGGAGGCAGCGACATAGCTGCTTTGGGTTGTCCTTTGGACAGGAGGGTTGAGCCCTCAGTAGTCCGCCATAGCCTCGGTCTACATGTGAGAGGAAGGAGAAGGGTGGCCATGGCTATGGTGGACCTCATGTTGTGCCAGCAGTAGAAGTGGGATTCGGACATTGATTCTGGTTCAGCCATTCAACATTATTATTGTTATTTCTTGTTTGAATGGATCAGGAGATTGGTGTTCACACACGACCTCCCTTGGCATGCCCTGGCGCTGGACCAGATCGCCCGGCTCGCTCCACAAGCCCCTCGAACAGTAAACCCCCTTTCTTGGCTGGAAGACGACTTTTCGTCCTTGCCTCAACGCTCCCATGCGAGCCAGGACCCGAACCGGGATACAGTCCGCAGCGACCTCGTAAAGGACGATTTCTGGATCCGCTGCATGAAAGCCTGGCGCCAACTACCGTTGCCAGACAGAACTGGGCCAACCAGATGGGAGGAGGTGGCTCAACAACCCCTGTTCGGGAACAGTAATATCACGGATCGACAAGGGAGGGTCTATCGCAGCTCCGACCCCCCGTGCAACAGCTGGGTCGAAAGGGGCATAACTAGAATTAAGGACATCTGAGACTCAGAAAACAAAGGCTGGAAGACAGAGTCACAGATGAGGACGTTGCTGAAGCAACCTGGAGAGTCTGATCTTCGCGATTCCCCTGGATTGGGTGCGCATTCTGCGAAAGGGACCAAAGCTGACAGACGGGGACTGGGTGGCGGTCCCCGGCGATCCAGAGAGTGTGGGAAATGTAGTAACAACACACACACAGAGGAAACGCTGATTAATCTCTTCCACAAAGAAAATGACAACAAACTAACCAAATATGCCCCGGACGTGACGAGATGGTATCAGAACACTGATCTGTACAGGATCCGGGTGCTACGGGATAAGGAGGCTTGCATAGTATACCAGTCGGGGACCTGCATTGCGGATCTCCCCTTTGACCCGGAGGACTGGCAGTGGCCCCCCCCGCGCAGAACCCCAAAGACACAGAACGTGAAGCTCTACAGCCTGACAGTGAAGGCCACCTATCGCTTATTGCGCCCTAAGGTGAACTTGAAAGATATCGTAAAAACCCGATGGAGATCCCATCTGAATGTCGGGGTTGAAGCCATCCGCCCCATTCGGTGGTTCTCCCTCACAAGGGCCAAACCAGCGAAGCTAGCCTCACTGCAGTGGCAGATAGAGCACCGCTGCCTCCCCACCAATGACTGGCTAATAGACCGCACCTACCTAGAACAAAAAGGACTGGCACTCCCGTGGTGCAAATCGTGTCACGCGGCATTCCCCTCCCGAAAGATCCCGGAAACCATAGAACACATTTTCTTGCAATGTCCGGGATCTGTTCTTACATGGCAATGGTGGGACAGGATTTGGAGGCTGCTGGACACCGGCACAAACTGCCCATACGGACCTCCCCTGCATCTAGTACCTTTGAAGAGAACATGTTTAAAATAGGAAGGAGAGCGGTTATGTGGGCGATCTGGAGGAGACGTTGTATACACGTCATGGAGGGAGTCCGCATAGCCGGGGAGGAAATGACAAACATGATTAAACAGTTCATACACCAAGAACTTATGACGCAATGGCAAAAGGTCAAAAGTCTGCTGGATCTGTGCCAAACAAAGAAGGGAATAGAACAAAAAATCCAACAATTTTTGGGGGACTGGCTGGGCAGCACGGACGGAGGCCGAATCGCTTTTATCAAGTGGGATGGAGGCCAAACTCGGAGAAACGAAGCAGGCAACCACGACGGCAACCGGGAGCTGATCATTAAAGACTATCAGATCTGTTTCAGAGACTGGACAACGGTGGGCCAAGGGGTTCCGTTACGGCCACCATCGGATTTTCCCGACCCCTTTCCACCCCATCAGTTGGTGGTAGTGGACATGCAGTGGTATGGGGCGGAGTAAGCAGGCCTGATGGGCGCAAGCATCAGGCCCTCTTTCGGAGCAGGGAACCAATTGGCAGTTGCACATATCTGGCGCCTGGCATAGGGCGAAGAGGTTCCCGTCCTGATACAACCTGCTCAGTTAATCCTCTGGACCCCAGAGCAATCAATGCTGGCAGGGTTTTCTCTACTTCAGTCTGCATTTTCACTATGTATATGGGACGCTGGACCCGCTTTCCAGCAGGTGACCCTCCCCACCAATAGATGGAGCCTCCCCCCCGGTGCTAGCGGTGTCTGCTCTTACCAGCACCTCTAGCACTGGTGAGGGTTGTCTTTGAAAAAAAAAAAAAAAAAAAAGCAGAGGAGATAAGGAGGAGATTGGTTGGCGAAGAAGAAAAGCCTTTCTTTGGTCTATGCTGGAGTACCTCATCTTCTTCTTCTTTCTTACTTCTTCTTCTTCTTCTTTCCCTCTCTCTCCTCTCAAGTTCATTCATGCCTTTTTGCAATTGGATGGCATTGTATTTTCTGATGAATGTATACTTCGAAATTGGCCAGGATCATAACATCGGTATCAGAGCGGATTCTACTTGCTGGCGAGAGTTGACTTTGCCGCCATAACCCTAACCCTAGTGGTAAGGGATAACCACTTAGGGTTAGGGCGGAAGTTAGGGTTAAGTGGGGCAGCGTGGCAA